GGGGCCACAGCTGAGAAGCAGGAGCAGCACTGGGTGCTCATGTCATGACCTGCTGTCACCCCTCCTGCAGGTCAGGGAGGCAGAGGCCTGTGGAGGCCGTGCTATGTGGTCCAGGCTCCATGGCTGGTAAATGGGGGGCACCTGCACCCCTCACCTGCCTGCTCCACAGCCCTGACCTTTTCCAGTCTGGCCTGCCCTGTGGCTCCCCAGCTGAGGGCTCTGAGGGTTTGAGGGACTTGCCAATCACAGAGCCAGAGCAAGTTCCAACTGCAGAGAGCACTGCCCCTGTGGGGGTGAGTCCTCTTTATACCACAATCCTCGAGGGCCTGCCATGTGCCAGACTCTGCTCTGGATGCCATGGAAGAAGCAGGGAGCAGCCCAGGCTGAAGCTCTTGTCCCACCTCCTTGTATTCTTGTCCCTCCCTGAGGACCAGGCCCTCCAGAGCAGGGAGGGGGAGGGCATCTTTCCTTCCTTCCCCTCCTGGAACAGCACCTGAGAGGATTCTGACAGGCTCAGGTTCCCTGTAGACCTGGGCCCTGGGGGGAGCTGCCAAGAGGCTGGGCCTTTGTCCTGGGTCTGCCTGTGAATCCGTGTGTTCAGGGACCAGCCCTCACAGGCCCTGCAGGGTAGGAGCAGAGCTGGGTCACTCCCCAGGCAGTGTTCTCCATGTTGGTGACACAGGGGTCCAGTTCAGGAAGCCAATTGCTCACTTTGGGTTTCCTGCCAGAAGTCAAGGATCCTCTTTCTAACTCTTGAGCCCAGGAAGGACCTTCCATCCATCTGCTCAGCCCCATTGACAGATGAAGAGCTGGAGGCTTAGGCATGGCCAGAGACCCGCCAAAGGTCACATGGCCAGTTAGTGCCAGGATCAGGCTGGGAACCCAGGTCCCATTCTAGCCCCTCTGTGTGCTGCCTGGTGCTGACACTGTCTGCAGAGACGAGCAAGGTGCAGGGTAGGTGCTGAATAAGAGCCCCTGGAACCTTCTGGGCAGGAAGCCAGAGTTTCTGCCCCTCACTGGTTTCCCTGAGATTCAGCTCGAGCCTTACAATCAGACTCTGAGGCTGGTTTACATCAAAAACTATCCCCCCCCTCCCGTGCCATCCGGGTCATTCCTCATCGGGATCCCATATCTCTGCATGGGATATGGAATAACAGGCGCTTTATCATCCAGCAGCTGGAAATGCCACCGTGGTTCCTCCCCTATTCTGTTGGTAGAGATTTGAGTTGATCCCAGCCTTGAGCTGTTAAAACAGTGCTGCCGTGGGGACCTCATGGTGATCATCCTCTGCAGGTGAATGCCCGCTGCAGAGGCCTGCTGGGTCAGACAGTACGTTTACTTTATGTGGATGACACCAGTGTTCTGTCCTGGGTGTGGTGGCACCAGATCTCAGGATCCCTGGAGGTAGGCAGGGAGGTGGCTTCCTACTGATTTTGCAGGTGTCACCAACAAAGACCCTGAGGGCCCAGTGTCACGTGCCCGCCAAGGCAATCACGGCCAGCAAGCAGCTCAGGTGACTCGCTCTGCTGACTCCTAGTAGATACTTGGTCCTCTCTGCCATGTCTTGGGCCTAAAGGATGCTCTGGTTGACAAAGGAGGGAGATGGAGGGGACCAGGGTGGCCGTGGCCAGATGCCGCATCTTCCTTGTGGACCTTTGCCTTGGGGACCCATCTTCCCAGGCTCTTGGGAGGACACAGGGAGCCTGCCCAGGAACAGACCCACAGGAGCCCGGGGGCTGTGCTCCCCACCTACGTGGTCTTGGATGAGGCATGGCTCTTCTCGAGCCCTTCGTTTCCCTGTCTGAAATGGTCATGACCGTGGCCCCTGCCCAGGGCTCTGTGGAGAGTCGAGGGAATGCTCACCAAGCCCTGGTGGGTGGGTGGGAGGGGTGCTGGGTGATAACTGAGCTGCAGGAGGGCTGGGACAGAGCCCACATGCCTGGACCCCACAGCCCAGCCCAGCCACTGTCCAGTCGGTGACCTCAGACAAGGTGCTCCACACAGGGGGCCTCAGGGTCCTCACCTGTCCATGACACCCCCTCACAGAGCAGGGCTGGCCCTGAAGGACGGAAGTCACCTAATGCCCTTGGATCGGCACATGGCTTGTAGGAAGTATCCCCTCCATGTGAGCCGTCAGGTCTGGCCGTGTGACCTTGAAGGGGTCATGTTCCCCTCTAGGTCCCAAGGGACAAGAGGGTTGGGGCAGCTTGGGGTTGGGTGGCTCCCACCTGGCTGCTCATTGAAATTGCCTGGGAAAATAAAATAAATAAATAAAAATAAAAAAAATTTAAAATCCCAGGCTCCACCTAGAAGTTTTGCTTTGATAAGTCTGACGGGGTCTGGGCATTAGTCTTTAGTTACTCCAGAAGATTCTAATATACAGCCACGGCTTATGACCCCAGAGCCACATGTCCCGAGACCACAGGGGAAAGCTGGAGTGTCATCCTCTGGCAATCCTGGTCCCCCATGCAGGTAGAGCGTGAGGTACCTTTTCGGGTGTGGATGCTTCAGAACAGCATGTGTGGGCTCAGCTCTCGGGTCCATGGTGGAGCAGGGCCACCTCCCAGGAAGCAGACCCCTGGACCCCTGGAGGGGCCACCAGACACAGCCTGCTCAGGGCCCACCTCAGCGCAGGCCCTCCCCGCTCCGTCTTCCACCGTCTGCCAGCGAGGCCTTGCTCCTAGCCACAACCTCCCAGCCACCATGGCCCAGGGTGTCACTGAGGTCCGTCCCCCTCTCCCTCAGAGTCCTGGCTTTCTATAAGGAGCTCATCTGGGGGAATCGCCTGGGATCCTGTCCCTGATTTGAAAGCCACTTGCTCAACCTTGTTTCCTGTTGGGAAAACGGGGGGCATCCTCTGGGAGTGTCTGCCCTCCTCAGTCAGGTTCTCCCGGCAGCTGCAGGAACAGGACAGAGGCTTCTCCTGGGTCCCCACGTCTCCTGGCTGCTAAGGAATGAACGTGTGGTCAGAGGGAGTGACGGCAGCAGCCATAGGTATCATTTATTAGGCACCTGCAGCATGCCAGGCACTGAGTCTTGCCTCTACCTCATCTTACAGGGTGGTGTCCCCTTATTACAGAGGGGACACTGAGGCTTACCAGATAAGAACAGAGACATGGGCTGGGGTCCGATGCCTTGTGGTAGACCACCCACTGAGCACGTCTAGGCCTGGATTCCATCTCCAGCCCCACAACCAACCAACCAACCTACAAAAAGCCCAGAGATTCTGTAATGAGTCAACCTAAACCAGATGTCATGAGCTCTGCCCTTTGCCTGCTGTGTGTCTTTGGCCAGCCACGCCTGTCTCTGAACCTTGTTTCACAAAGGGGCTCACATTCAGACCCCCTTACAAGGTTGGTGAGCACAGATGGAGCAGCCAGCTTCAGAGCCCTCAAAATTTGATGATTGGTACCCTGTAGCCATAGGGGATCAGTTCTGGGACCCCTGAGGATACCCAAATCCAAGGGTGCTGAAGACCTTCCTATATAATGATGTAGTATTTGCCTATGACCTATGCACAGCCTCCTGTATACCTTAAAACATCTCTAGATTACTTACAAAAGCAAATACTATGCAAATAGTTTCATACTGTTTTGTTTAGGAAATCATGACAAGAAGAAGCATGTGCAGTTCAGGC